AAACATTATATTTGAATTATAAATTTTAAAATAGAGCCTTTCAAGAATTGCTCCAAGAGAGAAAAAAAAACCCAAATTTATAGTTTAAAAATTATCACACTTGCAATGTACATGTTCAAGCAGATAAAAATTATTAATTAACTATTGAACATAACTAATTGAAAAATTGTGATAAAAATTTTTTTCAGGCGGATTATTGTTCATTTATCTATCCAGTAAGCCCCCGATTTTTTTATATTTCTTAAATTTTATATTTAATATGTTAAAATAATTTTTATTAATTAAGTGTTCAAAGTAGACATGGCTTACGCAAGCCAGAGCACCCATTTTCGGCTGTATTTTCATCCCTCTGGGAAAATTATTAATATTGGTCCTACAGTTCCGGGAGTTGGGACTTTTTTTTAGGAAATTTCCTCCTCTTTTTTAATCTTTTTAAAAAATTTTTAAATCTTTATTAGTTTTTCAAATATTTGCAAAAAACTAAACCTTTTTTTTGGCTCAAGTTGCGGCAGAACTTCGTAATACGCAGGCACGCAACACACACATACAAACATACGCCCACATTCGACTCTCAGACCAGAGGTAGTTTGGTATTGGCAGGGTGCGAAGTATATGGTGGGGAGGGCTGGCGCTGACTACCACTTTTACGTGTAAATCTTACGGGAAGAGCATGATTTAACGCTAATGGCGACCACTGGAACTAAATTACTCCGTTTGATTTAACATAGGAAAAGCATGAAAAATGAGGGCAGCACCATCGTGCACTTGGCCAATTCTCAAATTTAAAATACCAGTTTTCTTAAATCTAAAATATTTAACTTGACTTTTACTTCGTACAAAAAAACTCGACTAAAAAATATTCAGTATTCCGGGTATAAAAAAACTTTTTTTTCAGTGTGACATGAGTATATGAAAAAATAATAAAAAGTGTACTTTTAAATATAATTTTATGTTATCATCTACGACAAATTGTGTTAATACTTTTCTTCGGGGTTAAAAATATTTATTTTTATTATCAATATAATCTCAATTTTATTTTATAAATTATATCCAAACTTTTTCAAGAAAGTTGAAACAATTTATTTAATTATTGCCATCTTCCAAAACATAAGAAAATTCTCTAAATTTTAGATTTTTTGTTTTAATTTCTTAGAATAGTATCGGTATAACTATACAATTTTTTACTACAAATTATTTTAGTCAGGCATATCGAATAAAAATGACCCAAGTGAGTGATTTTAACGAATTGTCTAAATTAATTATAGTAGATGATTATTTTTTTCCATCGACGTTTGATATAAAATTATTACAAAGCTGAAAATAATGTTAAGGTTATTATTGAAAACTTCTTGCATATTTAAATTTTACTTTGATCAATTTACAAATGACACAAGCCCTGAAGGCATGCACATGTGGATTCACCAAACTCATTATTTTTTTTTTTTTAATTAATTTAAAAATAGCATGTACAGGCAGACTTTAAATCTCATTTTTAGAACAAAAAATTTCCCAATTTGCTTTAGTGAGACGAAAATCGATGAACCAGTTGATATCAATAGTATATACTATTGTTGGGTTTTTTTATATTTTCATTTTTATTTTTATCTTTATTCTAAATAAATTCATACATGATATGGAGAGTGATATGTACGAGTGGCTGATACGTGTCAATGGATCACTGAATTTTACCACAAATATTTTGGTACGTTAGTTTAGCTTTTGAAAAAAGCCATCGACGAACCAGCAGTTTCCGATAGATTGACTCATGCACATATATTCGTTCTTTTAAACACAGAGACACACAGGCATGAACACACATCTCTGCACGGTGATAAAGTGATGCAGATGAAAATACAAGTTATGCAACTGGTTGAATTCAACACCAGCATCATACCACTAGTCAGTTGCATAGCCAAAATAAAAATACACTACATGCATGCGTGTAACACACAATACAATCAAAAGTTATATGTATAGTAATGACTGTTTTATTCAGAAACACACTGCACACGAAGTTGGTGCAGCAATACATAGCCGAGCCGAGCTATTATATATTGCATATTACACACACGTGGGCCAAATATGTATAACGAAGCATACACCGACTATGGGAGTACATGAAGGATACAGTGCAATAGAGAGTACAGGTAACTTGGGCAGGGGTAGAGGCACATACAGAAATCGGTTTGGAATATAGTTGAGTGCTTCGGGGGCTTACGGGATATAAAGGGCGGAGGGTTAGCTATGATAGCAATTTGTTGTTTTGGTCTCTGGCCCTCCGGTGACGTTCTAGTGCCATTAACTTGGCAATACTGAAACTTAATCGATGCTGGGACAGCATCATTCGTTTTTATCTCTTGGTAGTTCAACTCGACGCTCCTGGCAGTTCGGATACTCTCATTTTACGATGTTACAAGGCCAAGTATACCAAAAATCAACGGATTGTTCTATTCGGCTGTTTTATTTTAATGTTCACAGATTTTATTTCCTTGAAAAAATTTTCTGATATGTTTATATAAAATTTCTCATGTCCTAATATGCCCACATTATTTTTCAATCAAATTTAGTGTTTCAAAAAATCTAAGGAAAGTGTAAAGTTCTAAAAAAAAAAATCATTTTTCTGACTCTCCCAAGGAGCTTATCGGCCATTGGTTTTTAGGTTAATAAACCTCTACAATAATTTATTTTTAACACGACATATTAACTGATGGACATATATTTAAAAAAAAATAATGAAAATCTATAGTAAGCCATGTTTTGGTCTCATAAATGGTCATATATGACTTCATCAGGCCCATATGGCTTGATATAGATAATTGTCACACCAAAAATTTTTTTCACGGGTTGTGTTCAATTCAAAAAAATTTCTTGGTTTTTAGATCACGTCCAAAATTTTAGCATTTGTTTTTTGCTATTTGTTACTACATTATAAATAGGAGGTGATTTATCACGATAAATAGCACCCGATAAAATAGATAAATTAGTTTAGCAAAATAAAAACTAAATTAAAGTAAGTTAAGTTGAGTCAAAATAAAAAAATCCTCGAGTGTGTAACTGTAGTCTTGGGTAATTAATTTAGTTGGCTTGTGTATGAAATAGATTAAGAAGAGATAATTAATCCTGACCCCTATCACGTTCAGCTGTGATTTTTTGTTGAGTTTACGCGTGTGATATAAAATAGTACGGTTGAAGATATTCTTATATTTTTTTTTACTTATTATATACTTGTGTTTATTTATTTAGGGACGATAATTGAATCATATGATACTGATATCAGCAAATATTTAACTATTTTTTGGTTTTCTTTATCAATTTAATTAGTGTTGAAAAAAATATTGTAAAAAAATTGCGTTCATAGATTTCTGAATCTGTGACAAGTGGAGTATTTTTTAAAAAAAATTTTTTATAGTAATTTATTTCTTTAAACAATTGTGAAAATGATTAAATAGAAGTTTGTGGTAGGGATAGAAAATAAAATATATTTTTTATTAAAGATAAAATTTTACTCGAGAGTTATTGATCGTAAGAAGAGTTTTTTATGTTATTAAAATCAGAAATTTTTTATAACAATTCTATGTAACAAAAATGAAAAGCTTATTATCTCTTTTGTTCGCTCATTTTTAGGATAATTGGATGGGTTGTTAAAAATACAACGATAATTTATGCTATTTATAAATGTAAGAATATTTCATAGTACTTTTATTGAGTACACAAGAGTGTTCCTTATTTGCAGACGTGAGAGCCTTGGAAACATTACTTGGAGCATGAATATCTAGTGAGTCTACAGACGTATAATGTGAGCTAGAGTAATATAGGGAGGATTGAGCGATGATATCGGTGGCATGGAATAACGAGAAGCGTCATTTCTTTGAGGAAAAAATTTAAGTTTAAAGTATACGTATATCATTCCTTATACTCTCGCGCCTCGTCGGTTATAATTTCTTGATAGAAGTACGTTATTGATAGATAGATTTATAGTGACTTGTGTGTATATACAGAGTTTTATTTTATCATTCATTTTTATTTGAACTAGCAAAGGCTCAAGAGCTCAGACATATTTTATCTTAGTTGGCCCGAAAATGTCTATGACGTGGATTCGGTTTTTTACGCTCGAGTGCTTGGGTTTTCGCATTGACTTTGCCCACTGATGTCCTCTTGAATTTTTTTCCCTATACTACACTGTCTCTGTCTATCTATCTCTATTTTATACTTTATTCTATTTTTCATCCTCCTCGTCTAAAAAGCACAAGTATAAAAGCATCTCGTTCAGTGAAACGCAAAATCGTGATACGCGTGATAGCCCTTTTGGAAGCTTTCAAGCTTGAAATCAGCTTTTGAAAATTCACAGACTTAACATTTTATTTTAAGAGTTAATCAATCGTAAGTCCATATACTTTTACATATATAAATACATACATGTATGTCGATGGACGTATGACAGAATTTTGTTATTTATTTATTTATTGAAATGGTTAATGGGACATAAAAAAACTACCTAATGGTCCATAGAAAAATCCGAGAGGTTTTTGGGAGAGCGGGGCTTGTTAATGCGGCAAATATATGCCTCGGGTCTCGAGGATAAAAAATATGGATATTCATTATAAACTGAGAGGCAAATTAATTTTTTTATATGAAATTCATTTGTATAGAGTATTGAATATTTAAAATAATTATTTAATACATCAATTTTATTATTTATTAAAAAACATACAATAAAGTTATTAAAACTGTGCTGTAGTAAAAAATGCATTTACTTTTATCACTGTTTTATTTTTATTAATGAAAAAACTATTTTTATTAGTAGAATACTAAATTATTGATGGGCTTGAAGTATTACATTTAATTGTAATATATGGCAAATTTATTTGTAAAAATATTAAAATAATCTAATAGTAAATTTTATTTAATAAAAACAAAAAGTTTTCTCTATGATATTGCATCAAATATTAGAATAAATGAGTCTCTCAATGAACTAATTACATATAAATATTAATACTCACTAATTTCCAAGTATTTCTGATGGACAGGATCGTACTGCTCCCAGTTGATTGACCGAAACTTGTTTTTTTCTTTGGTAATTGCCATCTGAGCCTCGTTTCTTTCGTTTCTGTGGTGCTCGTATGCATTGGGGTTTCTGTAACGAGTAATTAAATTTGATTGTCAGCGAAAATATCTCCGACATTGTGATTGTTTAGGGTAGAGAAGAGTAGTTTAATAGTAACGGAAACTATTTGTTAGTGGTCGCTGTATATTTTGGCGGGGGAGTCTGATGTTAATAGCTAGTTTGCGAGGTTGTGTCTCAGGGCATTCACGAGTGTACTAAGCACTTCCGGTTACTTTGGAAGCACGTTAGCTCATGCCGGACGCAGGAAGTAAGGTACTATTCGTGGTTGTGTTTACGTTGACCACAGGACGTTCTTGACATCCTTTGAGTACATGTTAAACAAACCTGGTAGTTTTGTTAATTAATTTCTGGCTAATATGTGACCAAATACTGGAGGAAAACTCTTAATAAAGTGATATTTGATTTTAGATACGTGTAGAAAGACTTGTGATATATTTAATCAAGTTCATTTTTCTATCAGTGAATCAATAATTAATTCCCTCCAAATATAATTTTGGATAATTTTTTTAATATAATCATTTTTTGTTAATCTAAATTTATTGATCCCATAAAAAATTAGAATGCTTGAAAAATGAATATTAAAATTAAAAATAATTTACGAACCTATGAATCATCTTTAATGTGAATTTGGTAATCCGATAGTAGAACGGTGATATCTAGACGTGTCTGACGTCAGATTTGCCTGATTCGATTGCCGTTATCTCGTACTGAGGATGCGGAGAGTAATTATGCGGTTGTACACACATGATGCGCATGACCGTCAATAATCCTTTGGACAGCTCGTCCAGTTGACGAGATAACCAGATCGTTAATTTAAACTCAAGAGCGAGATCAAAGTAGAATCGTAATTAGCATTCGTGAAACCGATTTAAAAATACTGATTTAATTGAACAAAATTTCAGTCCAAATCCTCAACTTATTAGCCGCTCAAAAGGACTTAACTGTTTACTGCACTTTTTAAATAATAATCACTAGTGAGAGGACTAACGTAAACGTCGCGTATTTATCTGGAAAATTAAATAATTTACGCGGCGATTGATCTTATATAATTGGCTACTCAGTGGAATCATAATTATCATACATTTGATAGCAAAGCAGCTTTACTTCCTCACTCTTTACTTTCCAAATATAGAGATCTAGCATGGCCAAATTTAGAAAGAGAAAGAAAGGCAGTTTTACGATGGAACTTTTAGTTCTTTAGAGGAGCGCGTTCTACAGATTAGCTGTAAAATGGAGCTTCAAGCCGCTCAGCGGCATTACCGAATTGCGTTTCAAATTGGTAATGGCCAGCGCAAGCTGCTCTTGCTCTTTCCACAATTCTTTTGAACACGTACAGAATAATTGAGTTTTTACTTATTAATTTTTTTGTTTTTGCGGCAACTCTTTACTTTTGGGATTTTTTCGAGGCATAATCCAAGCTTATGTAACTTTTTGTTAAAAGCTACTCAAATTTTCATTCTTGTTAATATTTATTTTTAACTCTTTGGATTTGGTAAAAGGTGTCTAATTACTAAGGGGTTTTAAAAACGAATTAGGCTTTTTTAAATTTCCCGCATTTAAAATTAATAATTTAAAAAGTAGAAAGTTATTGATTTTATTGACAAAATTATTGACATTGCTATTATTTACAATGATTTTGTTGATAAAAATTAATTTTTCTATTTACGTATATATATTTATTTACCCAAAACCTTATAAACACTTTTGTGCTTATTAAAAACGGTAATCATAGGCAATTTCAAGAATTTATCGATATCCGTATTATACCCATTATCAAAATTCGTTTTATTTTTCATTGGTTGCAGAGCACATTCTTTGCGCTTCAAGCTTGAGGTATGCAACTATTTCATAATTTTATCAATAAATGAAAAATTATTGACATAGTTAATTAAAAAAAAAAGAAAAAATCGATGCGACTAATGGGAGAATTCATAAAATTTAAATTATTTGAATTTAATAATTCCAATTAAATTAAAAATGAGATGAAGATTTACGTGAAATAAAGCGGCGTGAATTAAACGCCGGGTGTGTATGAAAGGGAACGGACGATTGAACACCTTTTCATTTGCGTTTAATATATATATTGAAGAAATTATTTTTTCGAGATTCTCCGGAAAGAATTTCACTAATCAATTGATTGCTCTTGTGAGTGAATTTTTGTTTTACTTTTATCACCGAAGAGAAGTGAGTATTGAAATCAAGGAGGATTATAAATATTGACGGCATAAATTTTCGAGCAAATGGAGAGAAAGAGAGAGAGAGAGAGAGAAAAAAAGAGAGTATTAATGGAAAGTGGAATAAATATAATTCATAAACGCACAATTAAATATTAACGTTATCATCTAAAATGACAGGTCATTTATTTATGCCCCACTCGAGCGAGATTTGGACTAACAGCTAGACAGACAGACTGAAAATTCGAGGCGGTCTGCCAATTTGCTTCCAATTCCATTCCATTTCGTGGAGAGAGAATAACAACGGCGGATAGGATGGTATATAGCGAGCTCGAGACGTAGAGGTTCGTTTCGAGGCCAAATCTGCTGTTCTTACTAACGAGCAGAGACGCCAGTGGCGTCTGCCTCTGACATTCTCATCGTTCGAAGGATTGTTTAGTACTCGAGTGTCAGTTAAAATGCGATTTACTCAAGACCCATTTTCCAATTATCAATTATCTTGACAACTATTTTAAATTATTATTTTTTTTTACTCTTTAATTTCATCAGTTCTTTATTTACTGTCATTCGGCTTAACGAAAACATTCCTTAATTGATAAAAAAAAAAAATTTATGTATTTTTCATCAGCATTCAATTTTTTTTCCTTATTCGATTGAAAAACAAGTTTTTGAAATTAAAAAGTAATTCTTCAATTGCCTCCTTCTTCGTGTTCAAGGCAATTTTCTTGATTCAAGAAATTTTTTTTTTTTTTTCAAATCATTAAGTGCTTTGTAAAACTATTAAAATCCTTAAAAGAAGAGCTTTTTCTTTTTTATTCTCAAGTTTGATTTTTTTGACTCACGAGTGAATTTCTTGAATTAATTTAATCTGAATATCTCGAAGTAAAAGTCAAATTTTAAAATGAATACAATTTTTTTTCTTTAAGTTACTTTTTTTTCAGCAAATAAATCAAAAGAACACTGTCATTTAATGATTTGTTAGAGTAATTATTAGCAACATCAAGGAACACCGAAATGCCATTAGTTAGGCGTTCTGGATACAATATCGATCCATTAGCGAATAGTGAACGTCGCTGAAAGCATAATCAAATTGTTGTGGAGACATCTCAAGTCACGAATAACCAAGTTGTGTTCTCCTCAGTTGTACTTGACACAAGAACAAAAATGAAGATAGAAGATAGAAGAGAGATAGGAGATAATATTATATGCATGTAGTTAGTGAAGAGAATAAGATCTGTTGTAATGACACGGGTACTCTCTATAATTCGAATAGGGTGTAAATTCGAGGGATAGGTTTCCAGGGCACGTACTTCCAATATCGCCTTAACGCCTGACAAGCTAAGAATTTTCACTGATAGGCGTTCGGGCGTTCACTCGACGCCTTTAGGCGAGCGTCCGTTTGTTCTCCCATTTCCGAAATTCCATTCCACGCTCCAATCGTTTCATCCCTGATAGCCGCCAGTGAGAATTTACAGAGATAACTTTTCGTACGAGTATTTAGAATTGGAATTTAAATTCATTTATCTGTATCGTTAAAGTGATTACGCTTAAACTGTCTTCATAAAAAAACAATTTCGAGTCACCTTTCTTACTCTTATTAATAAATAATAACTCTATTATCGCGGAAGCTTTTTTTATACTTTTAATTTACTTACTTTTTTTAAATTTTAATTTCATACAATTGGATCAATTTAATTGAAACTTATTGATAATTCTCTTAGATGTAATTTGTAACTCGATGTTTTTTTTTCTTTTTAGTTCATGTAGAAATTTAATTCGACGCGATTAATCGATAACATTTTTTAATTTGATTCATCTACCCATGAAAAAATTTTCCGATAGGGTCCGATGTCCATATATCGCGTTACCAATTTTAAAAAGAAGTATATCTCAAATTACACGTCGCTTTAGCTTTTTAGAATTTTTTTTTCTAAACCAAAAAGCTATACATAAAAAAATGTACTTCTCATTTTTCTAGTAAATTTCCACATTTCTCAACACTCCTAGAGTGATTAGAGCAAAAAAAAGTTTTTAATACGGTCTTTCGGCTCTGTAGAACCGGAATGCACATAATTTGAGACACGTTCTTTTAGTAATGCGATATGATCATATCAGAAAATTTGATTGATCCATATATGACCAGATATGAAAATTGGTCCTATCAGAATTTTTTTTTCTCGGGTATTACCTACAAATTTTTATTTTATAAAATGTTTTTTTAATCACATTATTTTTATTTCATCAAAATTGAAATATTAAAAACATACAGGACGAAACGCGTTTGTGAAAGAGAAAAAAAATTGGTGTTTATTTCGCTAATAGCCGGAGGAAAAAATATCGGTAAAAAGCAGCTTTTGTCTGTTTTTAATGAAAATGATGTGACAAATATTGGATAAAAAAGTTTAAAACTTTAACTCTCAACTGAATGCCCAAATTTATTGATAAACGAGTTTTGTGCAAACTTTCATAACATAAATTAATTATTTATACAGTTACTGGGGAGTTGATGCTGCAGAAGCTAAATAATGACAGTAATTGGCTTTAAATATTAAAGCAAATCAGAGGATTTTGAAATATTAATTTATTCCTTTTGATGCTTATATTGTTTCGTCGCAATATTACTCATACGCACAACCGTGACAAAAAAATAGACAAATGAATTTGTTCGCACTTTAGCAATCGTCAAAATGATGCTAATTCATGATATATTGTTATCGTTATTGTTATTATATAAATGGATTAAGGAAATAATATAGAACTCCAATTAATACAGCTGTGAAAGGGAGTGCATGCGTGTGGTTTTGAAACTAGCAATTAGTGTCTGAAAATAATTAA